TGCCCGGTCGTCGAGCGCTACACGCACAGCGCCTGGCGACCCGACGTCATGATCCTGGAGTACGTGCGGCGCCGAAACAGCAGGGGCGACGTGCACCGAGCGCTCTGCCTGCGCTACGCAAACCTCCAGAAGACGGACAATTCCGTGGCCCACGTCGACCTGGAGACCTGGGCCGCGCGCGTGCCCATACGCGGCGAGGTCCTGGTGGCGGCGCGCTCCAACTCCCGCTTCAGCGACGAGTACTGCGGCCAGTGGATGCTCCTCCACGTCCTTTTCCGCAGAGTGTATGAGCTCTGGCAGGATGCTGCGGAGCTCGTGCCGACTGGATACAGGCTCCTCGGCCACTGCCCCCTTCACCGCCCCGACCTCTGGAGGAACGAGGCATGGTTGCGTTACCGCGACCTGACCATCGACTCCAACGTGGCGATGATCAAGGCGCGCATCACCCTCGTCGACGACTAGGTCGAGGGCCGCCTCGTCTGGTCGGGGAAGGTCCGAGCCGCTGCGACACCGCAACGCCTTCGATGGCCGCATTACCACCCCCGAATCCGAGCAGACCGACTCATCACCAGGCGCTGGCACAGGGCGGTGGAGCTCGCCTGGCCCGACGACTACGAGGATCACAATCACGGCCCGCCCGTCGACGAGGACCCGCGCTCCATCGCCGTCCTGGGTCCGCGGGGAGCGGCAAGTCCTTGCTCATCAAGGTCGTCATGCATGACGCCATCGCCCAGGGCGCCCGCGTCCTCCTCGCCTGCCCGACGCGCCGACAAGTGGCGCGCTACCGAGGACATGCCCGACTTCGACGTCGACGGCATCCAGCCTTCAACGTCTACTTCCCGGAGCAGCAGACGCTCCAGCGCATGCAGGACTTTGACCTCGTTGTCGAGATGTGGATATTCGAGCGCCTCCTGCGCCTCTGGGACGCGGCCGCGCGGCGCCCTGCGCTCGTCTTCGTCGGCGACTTCGGACAGCTCCGCTGGATGGACAGCCCGCGCGTCCTCCAGCACTCGCTCTGGGCCGACGTCGACGTGGGGGAACTCGAGATCATGCGCCGCTGCAAGTGCCCCATTCTCATGGAGAAGCTCGAGCTCCTCCGCACGGCCACGCCGAGCAGGCCGCAGCTCGTGGAGATCATCCAGGACCATCGCGCGCCTTCGGCCGGCCATCGGGATGTGGGCTGGTCGGAGCGTGCGGAGCCCACGGAGTACGAGATCGGCCAGGTCTTCGAGGAGCACCCCATCACGACGTTCGTCACGATCTCCAGGGCCAAGGCGGCGTGGGTCAACCAGGCTGCCTTGCGGCACTTCTATTGGGAGGTCGAACCCCTGGGCACCATCGACGCCGACCCTGAATTCAACCCGCGCAACTTCTACGGCACCAAGCAGGTGAGCTGGGCCAACATGCGCTTGCCCATCTTCGAGGGCATGCGCGTGGGCTTCACCGAGATCGACTTCGTCAACGGCATCGAGGGCCGCGTGATCATGATGGACCACGCTGGCGTCTTGGTCAAGACCACCACGGGCCACATGGTCAAGGTGCCGCCCTACATCCTTAAACCAGATGGAGCACAAATGGTTGACTGCCTCTGCGCTGGCTCACCGCGTCGCCTGCGACGTTTTGCGGTTATGGGCGCCACCACACCGTTCATGCATAGGATCGGACACGCAGTCGCGCTGCAGATTAATTACGGAAAATGACGGCCTCCTAGAGATGTCACGCATAGAAGAGGAGGAGGCGCTCCACCGACGCACCCCATGCGCGAGCAGGCGGATGCCGCGACCGGCCGGGATTCGTTCCCCCCCGGAGTCGGCGCCCCACGGGTGCCTGACTGACAAGGATCTGATAAGTTAGGCGGCTACATGCTGATGTTGCTCCGGTATCCCGGCCTATCCTTGTGCTGCGAGCTGGCAGGCGGCGACTGCGCGCGCTGCGACTAGCGCGGGGCTCCGCCCGAACACAGTGGCGGCGCGCACAGGCGCCACCGAAAAGATGTCTAGGACGAAGCAGGGGAAAGGAAACGCACAGACTCCGATAGAGATCTCTGAAGCCGAATGAGGGCACCCGTAAGACTCGCAGGACCCAGTGGCATCTCATAGACTTGCACATGTCGTAGGACCGAACAGTTTCTGCATACTTGTCATCTGGTCTGGAAGCTCGGCGGCGGAGGGGAGGGCTTCCGCGCGGCTTTAGCCGACCCTTCGCGCTGTCGCTGTGGGCCCCGAAGCTTTGCAGCAACGCGCGCGAGGGGTCGGCCAGAGCTGCGCGGAAACCTAGGGGGCCATCTCCGTCCGCCTCCACGCGGCGGCCCCTGGGGAAGCGTAGCGACGCAACCTCGACCCGACTCGTCGGGTTGCGTCGCTGCGTTTCGCGAAGGACGGAGCTCGCGCGACTACGAACCCCATAGTGTGATACACAAAGCACTGTATGTCGCACACAGGAGAAAGACCACCAAACTGATTGGAATCGTAGGGCCCTAAGAGAAAGAAAATCTCGGGTACCAAATGAACCCTAAACCCTAATAGAGAAAGCCGTGGGTGGTTCGCCGCCCTAACGGGCGCGGGGTGGGAATGTGAAAAGGGGAGCTGGCCCCGTAGCCGAAACATGATTCCGCTCAACATGACGTCACCGCAACACGACTACCCCACCCCCACTCCATTTTATGGGTGGGGGTGGTCTTACACGAATGATGATCAGCAAGCGCTGACAGAAGACACCCTGAAACCTAAACCCTAAACAACCTTTATCGAATATTAATTTAGATGGTAAACCGAAATGGGTTGCAAAGTTACCCGCGGACCCCGCCCTCCACTTTCCTTAGCAAATAGTACCATTCGGTGGCACGTGCCTCGGGGCGCGCGGCATCTGCTTCACCATCCTCAATTAAAAATGTGGCGCGGCGCACATCGCCATGCGAAGCTAATTCCTAAACTCGCACGATCCTACACTAGAAATGTGGCGCGGGCCACATCCCGCGCGCGCGGCCGAAGGGGGCGAATTTCTTGCCCCCCGCGATCTCTTATAGAAATTTGGCGCGGGGCACATCGCAATGGAAAATAATTCCTAAACTCGCACGATCCGCTATTGAAAATGGGGCGCGGGCCTCATCCTGCGCGCGCGGCCGAAGGGGGCGAACTCCTTGCCCTCGCGGCCCCCAATAGAAATTTGGCGCGGGGCACATCCCACCCGCGCGGCCTTCGCGACCGCACGCGACACATGCGGCGCGGGGCACGCCCCGCCCACGCGGCGCCCGCTCGAGGGCGGCGCGCGGCGAACCTGGCCAGCTTGGGGCAGCCTGGGGCAGCTTGGGGAAACCTTGGCCAGCCTGGTCAGCCCCAGAGGATGTTGGCCGCTTGGGCAGCCTGGGCAGCCTGGGCCAGCCCGGCCAGCCTGGGACAGCTTCGCCAGCCTGGATAGCCTGGGTCAGCTTGGGGCAGCCTGGGCAGCCCGTGCCAGCCTTGCCCGGGCATGCCTGGGCAGCTTACTGCAGCCTGGCCCAGGCATGACCAGGCTGCTGCGTCGATGGTAAGTAAGCCTCGCGCGTTATGTGTACTTGCATATGTAATGGGAATCAAGGGTGGGTGGGTATTAGCACCACGGCTGTGTGACATCGAGTTCAGTTGGTTGCGATATGCTTTCCTTGTTGACCCTAAATTTCTCATCCTTATAATTATTAAACCTTAAATCCTTTTAAACCGGCCGCTATGCAATCCCCCCTCCATCTCTTGCAACAAATATTATTTTCTGATCATGCGATCAGAAAGCGTAGTTTTTTACAATACATTCTGCCCGGCCCGGGTCGCGCACCCGGCTCATCCATTGCAAAAAATTTTATATCCTGATCATGCGATCAGAAACTTTTTTTTTACAATACAAAGTGCCCGGCCGTGGTTCGCGAACCCGTATGTAACCCGGGATTTTATATATTGTAAAAAATATTATAACCTTAACATGCTGCCTTTCAGCATGCTTCATCCTTTGCAAAAATAGTATATCGTGATCATTCCTCCTTTCCGATGTGCATTTTCCATTGGAAAATATCATAAACTTAATATTCTGCTCTTGCAAGATGTGTTCATGCTTGTATTCCATTGCAAAAACTCTGTAGGGGCCGCTTTGTGGCCTCTTGGGGGCCTCCTGAGGGTTGTTGGGAGCCTATTGGTCTCTTATGGGCCTCTTGGGGCCTCCCGGTGACTTCTGAGGGGCCAGGGCTCTAAGTATTGTTTTTCCTCCCTGGTGCCTTTCTTGGGGTGTTCTTGGGGCTCTCTTGTGCCGTCTTGGAGGTCCAGGTAGGGTCTAACAGGGGTCTGGGGGCAAGCGATAGGAACCTCATGTTATGGCGTGGCTGTATTATAGAAACGACGAAAGAGAGCCAGGTTCTCCAACATCTAGGGAACCTCATGTCATAGCGTGGCCGTGAGACATTGTAGCACTGCATAGCAGGTCGTTGATCTGAGGTACGAGGACCCGGATAGCATAGCCCGGCCATGCAATAATATAGCACACCATACCAGCTCCAGGACCTGATACTATAGACACCTCATGCTATAGCATGACAATAGGGATAGCAAATCACCTACGTCAGACGCGAGGCTCCCCTGAATTAGAGGATTCATTTTCCATGGCACAACATAACACAACATAACAGTATCAGAGCTTAGAAGACTTTGATAGTATAACATGACATCTTCCGACACATAGAAAGTGGTCCAAGATCCAGGGTTCAACGCTACATAACGAAACGTGGTCCCAGCAGAGGCCGCATTGCAGACAAGGTGGCCCATGAGCGACCAGATTGCAATATGTCGCATGGCTAACCAGATGAGATTTTTTCTTAACCACAACCATAGAGGTCCGGGAACAAGCGATCGGTTCCCTGACACGTACATTAGAAACACCCATGCCACATCAGTGCGCCACGAGGTCGCATACACGGCGAGACGAAACCGCCAGCGCGAGGATGTATACGAACGTGAATGGAGTGACACCCCATAGTATCATCACCAACCAATTTGCCCGAGCATGTGGTCCCGCGTGTTCGCGACCATAGCCGTGGACGAATCGTCGGAGTCCGATGTCGACTCGCTGTCCGACTCGCTGTCCGCCATAGCCCAGGCATCCGTCTCTTGCTCCCGGACGGCTACCTGATGATGGAATAGCCGCCAGGCCAGCTCCAAGTTCCACAACCTCTGGCCCATGACCATGTAATAGTTCTGAGAGCTCTGCACTATAGCCATGAGCCATGGTGCTTCACGGCGGTCCACGAGCACGGCAACAGAGCAGTACAGCAGAGGATGATAGCAGATGCTGATCAGCGTCGGTGGCATTGCTGAACGCGAGCCCGTGAGAGTTCAGAATTTAACAAATGACGCGGTCGGCCCTCTTCAGGACGGCCACGCTTGACCCAAAGTGGCTACGGGCAGTGCTCTGCTATAGCGTGCGGACGCGTGCCCCAGCATGTCGGGCTTACCATCTCGAAGAACTGATGCCATAGGAACCTCATGTTATGGCGTGGCTGTATCATAGAAACGATGAAAGACGCGAGGTGCCCCAAAATCTGGGGAACCTCATGTTATAGCGTGGCCGTGACCTAATGTAGCACAGCATAGCAGGTCGTTGACTGGAGTTTCAAGGACCCGCATAGTATAGCGTGGCCATGCCATAATATACCACACCATATGAGCTCCAGGACCCAATATTATAGAGACCTCATGTTATGGCATGACAATAGGGATAGCAAGGCACCAACGTCAGACGCGAGGCTCTCCTGGAGTAGGGGAACCTCACATGGTAGCGTGGATATTTTTTAACATAGCAGAACATAAGAGCACCAGAGCTTATAAGACATTGGTAGTATAACATGACATCTTCCGAAACATAGAAAGTACCTGTCAAAGGTCCAGATTTCACAGTTACAGAACGAAACGTGGTCCCAGCAGAGGCCGCATTGCAGATAGGAAACAGAGAACATAACAAAAAAACAAGGTCCGTGTGTAGATATGCATAAGCATGAGCGCATGTTACCACACAACTGCCAGTTCACGCTCAAGATCAAGAGTGCCAGAAGAGATGCGAACCTTTTGTTTAGCAAGAGATGTCAATCGATGCGCTCCGCCTCTACATGCAGGTAGGAAAACGTTACCAGTGCCCGTTTGCGGTCAATAGATGCGGTCCGCCTCTGCATATCAGCAAAACGGTGCCGGCGCTCGTGTGCGAAGCCTTGGCCACGCAACGGTCCCGAGTGAGTATAGCCACCTAAGCCTTGAAAGCAGCATAGTCACTCGCCCCCGACGAACCGGACGCCTGCACGCCGTCAAAGCGCCGCTGGCGCTCGTGTGCGAAGCCCTGGCCACGCAACGGTCCCGAATGAGGATACCCACCTAAGTCTGAAAGCAGCATAGTCACTCGCCCCCGACGACCCGGACGCCTGCGCGCCGTCAAAGCGCCGGAGCATCATAGCCACGAAGGCGTCCTTGTCCAGCTGTCGCTCAGACACATGCGCACGAAGGCACTTCTCATAGACCTGGGCACTGTGCGATAGCCCACTCGCACCGAAGATCATGATGAGCAACTTCAAGTCAGGGCTTCTTGTTGATCCACGTGAATAGCGCAGTCGCAGCACTCTCGACCTTCGTCTCTCCGGTACAACTGCGTCAGTGCGCTGTCGCTTGAACATAGCCCTCCGGTCATCCTTGGACTTGCTGTCCGGCATAGACATACGAAAGACACAGGGTTCCCCAAGAACTGGGGGCCCTGTGTTATAGGATCATAGAATGCTGTCCCGTTTAGGGTCCGACCCGCCCGTTAGGGTCCGCCCATCCGACCCGACCCGACCCGCCCGTCAGGGTTCACGCGTGTCAAGTGCACACGCACCATACTTTAATGTCCCGCCCGCCCGACCCGACCTGCCCGTTAGTTCGGCTTCACGACAACCCAAGACAGCCCAAGAAGGGCCTGAGACAGCCTCAAGAGAGTGTTTCCTGCAGGCTCCCACGGGCTTTGACATAGTGAGATAGGTGCATGGTGAGGATTTAGGGTTTAGGGCCCCGCCCGCCCGACCCGCCCGTTAGGGCCCCGCCCGCCCGACCCGCCCGTTAGGGTCCCGCCCGCCCGACCCGCCCGTTAGGGTATAACATGAGAGGAGAGATGATCTTTATGTGGGGGTGGAGATGCGGGGGGGATTGATAGCCGCCGCAGGTGGGTGCCTATGCAGGTAGGTATTCCTGGCCTTGCCCTGTTAGACCCTAAACCCTAAACCCTAAATCTCTAATCCTTATAATTATTAAACCCTAAAGCCCGCTAAACCGGTCGCTATGCAAACCGCCTTCCTTCCCATGAAAAAAAAATATTTCCTGATCATGCGATCAGAAAGCTTTACTTTTACAATGCATTGTGCCCGGTCCGGGTCGCAATCCCGGCCTTTCCATTGCACAAAAAATATTATATCCTGATCATGCGATCCGACAGCCCTTTTTTTTACAACACAAAGTGCCCGGCCCCGGTTCGCACCGCTGCATGTAAACCGGGGTTTTATATTGTAAGACATATTATAAACTGAACATTCTGCTCTTGCAAGATGTGTCCATGCTCATAGTCCATTGCAAAAAATACGACAAAGTGCACACGCGCGGCGGTCGCGCGATCATGGTGAAATCTTTTGAAACACAATGTGTTTTCAATGTTTTTCAGAAGCGATATCAGCAAAACATATGAAAACATATGACTTTCTCATACCACAATTGTGCAGGATCGCCCTCCGCGTGCATCCAGAATCATTGATGCGACAGAGTGGACATGCGCGCGGCAGCCGCGCGCGCCTCGCAGCGCCTATCTGTTTAGCTATGCTATGCTATGCTGTGTTTCAGCCACGCTGTAACAAAAGGTTCTCCAAATTTTGGCGACCTCGCCTCTTTGCTACCTTTGCTTCGCTACGCTATGCTATGCTACAGCCACGCTATAACATCAGGTTCCTCAAATTTTGGTGACCTCGCCTCTTTGCTAAGCGCTTGCTATGCTATGCTATGCTATGCTACAACCACGGTATAACATGAGAGGAGAGATGATCTTTATGTGGGGGTGGAGATGCGGGGGGGATTGATAGCCACCGCAGGTGAGTGCCTATGCAGGTAAGTATTCCTGGCCTTGCCCTGTTAGACCCTAAGCCCTAAACCCTAAACCCTAGAACCCTAAAGCCCTAAAGCCCTAAACCCTAAACCCTAAACTCGAGCATGCGTCGCTGTCGGGATGCCCCAGACGCATACGAGCCTTGGTCGGAACGTTCAGTGGAGCGCCTGAAGGATCTACGGAAAGGGAGAGGTTAAGCTCGACCGCCTACACGCCACGCCTCAGGCTGGCTACGCCGCAGGCTACCTGCGTAGCAGGAAATAAGAACCCCAAAGCCGGAACCCATCGCCAGCGAGAACGCCAGATCCCCCAGGAACTTAGGAAAACCTAGGAAAACGCTGCCAGGGGCTCTCCAGGCGCTCCCAGCGCGCCGGGGTTCGCTCCCAGGCGCTCCCCAGGCGCTCCCACGCGTCCCAGAGGCTCCCCAAGCGCTCCCAGGGGGTCCCGAGCGCGGGATCCTCGCACGCGCGCGCGAGCCGCGGAGCGTCCGGCGAACTGGTCCCCGTTGTCGTGGCGCAACATGATCTCCTCTGAGATGGAAGCATATGCGTAATTTTACCCCAATCGCGATATGCGCTCGCCAGCGCGCCTGCGCACCGAAAAGGAGCGCGCAGGCGAGGTTCTGGCGTCGCCAACGTAATTCAGAGATAAGGAGTACACTCGACGGCCGGACGGCCGGCCGGCTGGCCGGCTGACGCACGCGACGCGCTGCCTGGTGCGTCGCACAGGGGGCGCCCGGCCCGCCCCCTCGAGCTCCCCCTCCTACCATCCGACACAAAGCGCTGCGCGTGCGCCACCGCGCAGAATCGCTCCTGCGAGAATCGGAAAAGGTCGCCCTGTCGGGCGTCCCCCAACGCGCGAACGAACCCCGGAGACTCTAGGACGACGTGGTGTCAGCGCGGGAACCTCGCGCGCGCGCGAGCCGCGGAGCGTCCGGCGAGCTGGTCCCCTTTGTCGTGGCCCACCATGATCGCTTCTGATTGAGGCATCTGCGTAAGTTTACTTCAATCGCCATATGCGCTCGCCAGCGCGCCTGGGCATCGAAAAAGAGCGCGCAGGCGCGGTTCTGGCGTCGCCAGCGTAACATGGGCCACAAGGTACGACACCTCGTTGGCCGGCAAACCGCTGCGCGTGCGCCACCGCGCAGAACCGCTCCTGCGAGAGTCGGAAGAGATCGCCCGGTCGGGCGTTCCCCAACGCGCGAACTAAACCTGGAGGCTGTTCCCCAATGCGTTACAGCGCCTGCGCGTTCTCAGGTAGGACGACGTGGTGTTCGACACCCCCATGAGTGGGGGCTAGGGGGAAGAACTCTGTGTCCAAACCCTAAAAGAGAATAGCCGGGGTGGATTGGGGCGGGAGGACAAGCAACGCGAGCGCGCACACAGCATCCCACCCCCAACAATCTTGATGTGGGGGTGGGATGCGTGCGCGCGCCCACACCGCTTGGCGGGCAACACCCTGAACCCTAAACTCGAGTATGCGTCGCTGTCGGGATGCCCCAGACGCATACGAGCCTTGGTCGGAACGTTCAGTGGAGCGCCTGGAGAATCTACGGAAAGGGAGAGGTTAAGCTCGACCGCCCACACGCCACGCCTCAGGCTGGCTACGCCACAGGCTACCTGCGTAGCAGGAAATAAGACCCCGAAAGCCGGAACCCAACGCCAGCGCGGGCAATGTCCCCCAGGAACGTAGGAAAACTTAGGAAAACGCTGCCAGGGGCTCTCCAGGCGCCCCCAGCGCGCCTGGGCGGGCTCCCAGGCGCTCCCCAGGCGCTCCCACGCGTCCCAGAGGCTCCCCAAGCGCTCCCAGGGGGTCCCCAGCGCGGGAACCTCGCGCGCGCGCGCGGCCGCGGAGCGTCCGGCGAACTGGTCCCCGTTGTCGTGGCGCAACATGATCCCCTCTGAGATTGAAGCAATGCGTAATTTTACCCCAATCGCGATATGCGCTCGCCAGCGCGCCTGCGCACCGAAAAGGAGCGCGCAGGCGCGGTTCTGGCGTCGCCAACGTAATTCAGCGATAAGGAATACACTCGACGGCCGGACGGCCGGCCGGCCGGCCGGCTGACGCACGCGACGCGCTGCCTGGTGCGTCGCATCGAGGGGGCGCCAGGCCCGCCCCCTCGAGCTCCCCCTCCCACCATCCGAGACAAAGCGCTGCGCGTGCGCCACCGCGCAGAATCGCTCCTGCGAGAATCGGAAAAGGT